ATAAGCGCATCACGAGGGTTATGAGCGCATCACGAGCGTTATGAGTGCATCACGAGCGTTATGAGCGCATCACGAGCGTTATGAGCGCATCACGAGCGTTATAAGCGCATCACGAGCGTTATGAGCGCATCACGAGCGTTATGAGCGCATCACGAGCGTTATAAGCGCATCACGAGCGTTATGAGCGCATCACGAGCGCATCACGAGCGTTATGAGTGCAACACGAGCATTATAAGCGCATCACGAGCGTTATGAGTGCATCAAGAGGGTTATGAGCGCATCACGAGCGTTATAAGCGCATCACGAGCGTTATGAGCGCATCACGAGCGTTATGAGCGCATCACGAGCGTTATAAGCGCATCACGAGCGTTATGAGCGCATCACGAGCGCATCACGAGCGTTATGAGTGCAACACGAGCATTATAAGCGCATCACGAGCGTTATGAGTGCATCAAGAGGGTTATGAGCGCATCACGAGCGTTATAAGCGCATCACGAGCGTTATGGGTGCATCACGAGCGTTATGAGTGCATCACGTGCATTATAAGCGCATCACGAGCATTATAAGCGCATCACAAGGATTATGAGCACATCACGTGCATTATAAGCGCATCACAAGGGTTATGAGTGCATCACGTGCATTATAAGCGCATCATCAGGGTTATGAGCGCATCACGAGCATTATGATCGCATCACGAGGGTTATGAGCGCATCACGAGCGTTATGAGTGCATCACGAGGGTTATGAGCGCATCACGAGCGTTATGAGTGCATCACGTGCATTATAAGCACATCACGAGGGTTATGAGCGCATCACGAGCGTTATGAGTGCATCACGTGCATTATAAGCGCATCACGAGCATTATAAGCGCATCACGTGCATTATAAGCGCATCACAAGGATTATGAGCACATCACGTGCATTATAAGCGCATCACAAGGGTTATGAGTGCATCACGTGCATTATAAGCGCATCACGAGGGTTATGAGTGCATCACGTGCATTATAAGCGCATCACAAGGGTTATGAGTGCATCACGTGCATTATAAGCGCATCACGAGGGTTATGAGTGCATCACGTGCATTATAAGCGCATCACGAGGGTTATGAGTGCATCATGAGGGTTATGAGCACATCACGTGCATTATAAGCGCATCACGAGTATTATAAGTGCATCATGAGGGTTATAAGTGCATCATGAGGGTTATAAGTGCATCATGAGTGTTTATAAGCGCAGCAGCTGCTGTAAGCCTCACCCGTCTCTGCGGCCGCTCCTCCAGACCCTGCAGGAATGTAGCCACATCATCGTCATCATAGATGGTGAACTCCATGTCCTTTCCCACAATGCCGATGGACACGTTCTGCAGGACAGAAGCTGTGAGTGAGAGAGAGTGTGTGTGTGTGTGTGTGTGTGTAGTGGAATAATCAGAGAAACAGCAGGAAAGCAAACCTTAGTGGTGAGATCCTGCTCAGCTGGAAGAGTCTCTCGCAGCGCACGCAGACCATGCTGGACCAGAGCATTCAGATTACCTGGAGAACAAGACCAGCGTCAGTCTCACACACACACACACTGTTGGATACTCAGTGTAGTTTAGTATAGTGTGCAGTGTAGTGTGTGGTATAGTATAGTGTAGTGCAGTACAGTCGTTGAAGGCCTCCATGTGTCGCTCCAGGTATGTTCTGGCGGACTGTGAGCGCGCGCCAATGGACATGGCCTTACAGTCGAAGTAATTGGCAGAAGGACACGTCTGGAAGATGTGCGGCCCCATGTCCTACACACACACACACACACACACACACACACACACACACACACACACACACATGAGAGAGTGAACACAGACAGCAGCTCACACTGTTTCCCATCAGCCACTGCACTCACATCATATCCTGCGATCAGCAGACCGACTCCATACGGACGCCTGCCGTAACGCTGCGTGGGGATCTGAGTCTCTGTAGCGCACGCTGAGGAAACACACACTCTCACACTCTGAACACACACTGACCCCACACACACACACACACACTGAACAACACAAACATACACTCTGAACAACACACACACACACACACACACACACACACACACACACACACACACACACACACTGAACAACACAACACACACACAGCGAGCTGAAGGATACTGCTGCCGATGAGGGACACCAGTCTGGACACTGGAAGCGGCCGGTCGAAGACAAACCTGGAGTCCAAACACTCCTGACGCATGAAGTTACTGAGAGAGAACACACACACACACACACACACAGATGAAGAGGAGGAGGAGGAAACAGAGGAAAGAGGAAGTGGAGGAAGAGCGGCGCAGGGTTACCACAGCAGTCTGGCGTCGGCCGTCAGTCCAGCGATGGAGATGCCGATGTGATTATCAACATGCAGGATCTTCTTCTGATGGGCGGCCAGTTCAGACTGCGCTCTCTGCACACACACACACACACACATTAAACACACACACACACATTAAACACAGAGGCAGTGGGGGTCGCTGATGTGCGCAGTCTTGTCCGCCAGGGTGTAGCGGTGGCCAGCCCTGTTCCTGGAGATCAGCCGGAGCCGAGGAGCAGACGCTCAGCACAGACCGCAGAACTCTGCAGGAAGCAGATCTCCAGGGACAGAGCTGGACCCGCTGGGCTAGCGTACAGGCTAGTGCACTACAGTCTAGTCTAGTGTACTTAAGCGAGTACCTTGAGAGCCACCAGCACCGCGTGAGAGTGGGACTTGAGCCCAACCGTGGCTGAGCCCTGTTTGACGGCCTCCATCGCATACTCGATCTGGTGGATCCGGCCCTGAACACACAACACACACTTCAGCTACACACACCTATACACACACTTCAGCTACACACACCTATACACACACTTCAGCTACACACACTTTTACACTTATCTCTCTCTCTCTCACACACACGGCTTACCTGCGGGCTCCACACGGTCACATCATTATCATACTGATTCCGAAACTGAGGAAAAATAAAACACAAGTGTGTAAATAACGCTGAAACACTTACCCACACACACACACACAGCAGTCAATATGGCGTACAGTAAGCAGCATTATGAGTGGTATATTGCTCAGTGTCAGTGGTTCTGCTGGCGG